TCTGGAGGTTTTGAACTCCACTTTTACATTTTCCTGCTAAATCCAATGAGGGTACAGCGCATGAATTGAGTTTGCTGACGAATGCGCGCGGACTCAGGGGCTCAATGCAAAGTGCAAATTGGGGTTTGCGGACCGTGTCAACCCACACGGTTTACCCCATATTCTCGTGCAGGGAAATTGAGCTTTTAGGTCCGTACGGCGCACAGCCGTTTCAACGCGGGCAGCAACAAATGATTGGTCTATGACATAGACCAATCATTTGTTGCTGCCCGTGTTTGTGTTTCTCTCCTGTGATGGGACTTTGTAGGACGAACGTTGAGATGTATAAAGGGGCACGGGGGTGAGCAATAAAGTGTGAATGGGTCTTGTAATAAGGTTGGGCACTGATAAGGGGTTGACAGGCTGTCATTGTTATCGCCTTCGTTGTGAACGGTGCACAGGCCTCCGAGAGTCCACACTGCGTCGCCGTCGTGTTGTGTAAACACCCCGCCCCCCTCCTTCCCCCGCCCCCCTCCTTCCCCCCGCCCCCTCCTTCCCCCGCCCCCTCCATCCCCCGCCCCCTTTCCCCCTCCTCCCCCCACCCGCCGCCTCCTCGACCACGCCCCCTTGAAATTTTGATTTAAAGCTTTCGTGACTGCAGTAATTCATATTCTTAGCTCTTTCGGTAAAGTCACGTTGAAGGGAAACAATAAAATAATAATATATATAAAACAATAAAAAATTCTCACGACGTTTCGACCATAACACAAACGGTCGTCATCAGGTGTGTCGGTTTGCATAAATTTATTAATTTTTAAACGGTGTATTTATTTATTTATCAAAACCGTCAGCGCCACGCGCAGCGATTTGGCAGTTTATTTAGAAGGACTAGTCCATCTATGTTCTGAAAAGAGGAGGGGGGAGACGAAAAATTAATGTATGCTGTCTGAAAGCCACTGTAAGCGTGAACAATCAATTAAGACCTGAAATGGTTTATCAAATCTTTTCAATGATTGCTAAGCCAGAATCCATCTTCTCGGTTGAAATTGTCTCTGTGCTTGTATATGTGGATAGCCTCATGAACAGTGGTTCTTAACCTTGTTGGAGGTACCGAACCCCACCAGTTTCATATGCGCATTCACCGAACCCCTCTTTAGTGAAAAATAAAATGTGATTTTTTTCAAATTCAAGACATAGATATGTTTTTTACTGGTACACAAAATGAGCCGTGCATGAACATTACTTTGTTCAAAGAATAAAACCAACACAATGCATAAACTCACAACAAATTACATACCTGGAAATCAATGTGACTTCTGCTGTTGCCTTTGAGAGATCAGTTCAGATATGCGTGGCTTCACCTTGGCAAGTGCCACTCTCATGTCATTTTCACAGCAAAGTCTGTTCCTTTTCTTCGTTTTTATGTCCAGCATCCTCGAAAAGGATTGCTCACAAAGATATGTTGTAACAAATGGTATAAAAAAAATCCAGGGCTTTCTTAGCAATAACTGGATACTTGTTCATTTGTCGACACCAAAACGTTGAGAGCGTTGTTGTTCTGAAGAGTTGCTGTTGAACCTGGCTCTGCTGAATTTCAATGATTTCGTCGAGGAATTCATCATTGACATCTGCTGTTTCAACAGCAAACGTGAACGGCTGTCTCACCCATGCTGGATATGACTCTCTTGTAGGGAAATATCCGTCGAGAGACTTTGCAAGCTCATCTAAGTGCGTGGCAATTGTTTGCTTCAGTTCCGTGGATACAGAAATATCTCCGATTCCAGACACACTTGCACAGTCGTCCAGAAGCGGGAAGTTTGCGAAGTTATTGTTCTCTGTTCGTCGTTTCCATAACGGTAGCTTTTTTTGAAAAGCCTTCAGGTGTTCTTCCGCTTCCATGATATTGACTCCACCACCCTGCATCTGCTGATTGAGATGATTGAGAGCTGCGAATATATCAGCCATGTACGCTAAAATGAGAATGAACTCAGGATTTTTGAAGCAATCTGCATGGCAGTGTTGGTGCTCTTGCAAAAACAGGGCTAATTCCACACGCATGGCAAAAACACGATTCAGCACCTGTCCCCGGGATAACCACCGAATATTAGAATGGAGCAGAAGTACCTCAAATTCAGAGCCCATTTCTTTACACAGCTCACTGAAGATGCGGTGCCTCAGAGCACTTTTTCGCACATAGTTCACACATTCCACCACAGTTTTTAATACTCCTGCCATTTTTGGAGGTAAGGTTTTTGTTGCCAACGCATGCCTGTGCAGAATACAATGCGTCACAATGATGTGTGGTGCATCGGCCTTTACTAGCGCACCAAAACCAGACTTTCTTCCCAGCATGACTGGAGCTCCGTCCGTACAAACTGCACAAACCATATCCCATGAAAGATTGTTGTCTCTGAAGAAGTCATCCACAAGCTTCTTCACATCGGCTGCCTTCGTTGTTGTTGTATGAGGCTTACAAAATAAAAACTCTTCTTTTATCATGTCGTCTTTCACATAGCGTACAAAAACAGCAAGCTGGCTTAGATCAGAAACGTCTGTGGTTTCGTCGAGTTGAAGGCTGAATTTTGCCGGGCTTGAAATCAGATCCGCGACTACTTGAGCCAAGATGTCTTTACTCATGTCTTCTATTCTGTCACTGACGGTGTCATTTGAAAGGGGAATTTGGGATAATTGACCTTCGGCCGCTGTTCCGAGTATCAGATTCGCCATCTTTAATGCAGCTGGTTTCACAAGTGTTTCACCAATGGTGTGTGGCTTGCCCTGCTTTGCGATCAGGTAAGCAACTTCGTACGATGCTGTCAGGATCGGTTTGTTAACAGGTACAAATCCAAGAGCAGGCAGAGTGGCCCTTTCATCGAATCTGGCTCTCTTCACCCTGAATTCAGCAAGTGTTGTGTTCTTGTATTCCCCGTCTCCATGCAGCTTCAAGAAGTGTTCCTTTAGTTTTGCCGGTGCAAGACTAGAGTTGCTCAACTTGGCGTTGCAAATCATGCAGATAGGACGCTCACTCCCATCACGTTCCGTGATACATGAGAATCCATGTTGTACATATTCGTCCGACCACTTTCTTATTTTGCCCGACATAGTTAGTATGGATAAAATATTAAAGAAATCACACGACGTACGACAACAACAGTCACACGTTGACTACTGAGTACGCACTAAATTCCCCGCAGCGCTGATTGGCCAAGCAGTGTAGCATGATCATCTGCAGCCAGTGATGGCCAAGCGGGCCGTGTGTGTCATCACAAATTTACACAATAATTCAAGTGTGTCCGGACCTCCGTGGCGGGGGCTCTGCCGAACCCCTGAGATCGACTCACCGAACCCCTGGGGTTCGATCGAACCCAGGTTAAGAACCACTGCTCATGAACGAATCTCTCATGGAAGCCATATGGCTTACAAATAACCTCTGTCTTGGAAAAGTCAATGTCATGTGAGCCTACTGAATAATAACAATGATCTGCCACGGCCGAGGTGTTGGTCCTACCGTGTTTAAGGTCTGCTTTGTGTTCACGAATGCGGTCCGAGACATGGCGTTTGGTTTATCCAATGTAACTACTACCACAGAGGCAACTTAGTTTGTAGGCACCAAGGTACTGTATGTCCGGAATCACATCTTTTACAGACGGAACCAGATCACGGATTTTATGTAATGTGTTGAAACGGACCTGGATCTTGTGTTTATTCAAGATTTTGGAGATCTTTTTTGTGATCCCCGCAATGTAGGGTTAAGTGATGGTTTTGAAAGGCTCCTCAAGAGGGTCCTTCTTCATGGTTTGAGTGATAGCTTTGCGGATTGTATAGTCGGAGTAACCATTAGCCTTAAGAGCTTGGTGTACGTGCTTGAGTTCACTGCCTATGTGTTCCTGGTCGGATATGCATTGGGCTCTATGATACAGAGTCTTGATGAGAGAATTCTTCTGTGATGGATGGTGGTGGGAATCCGGTTTCAGATAAGCATCCGTGCTTTCCTGTAGACAGAGTGGCTCATTGAACCATCATGTCTCTTTTTAATTAGGACATCCAAAAAAGGTAGCTTGCCATCTTTTTCGACTTCCATGGTAAATCTGATGGCTGGGTGTATGGAATTGATGTGGTCGAAGAATTGGTCTAGAGCAGGCCGGCCATGTGGCCAGATGACAAAAGTGTCATCCACGTACCTCTTCCATCATGTTGGGCGCAGAGTGGCAGTCTGGATGGCGTCTGTCTCAAATTTCTCCATGAAAATGTTAGCTATAACCGGAGATAGGGGGGAGCCCATTGGGGTGCCCTCAGTTTGTTTGTAGAAAGTTCCATTCCAAGTGAAGTATGTATTGGTTAAACAGTGTCTCACCAGGGGGGGTACCTCAGTGTTTAGTCCTTGATGAACCAAGTCTTCAATGATTGCGATGGTGTCAGGTACAGGAACCTTGGTGAATAAGGAAACTACATCAAAACTGACAAGCAGGTCGTCTGGGGACAGGGAAATACCCTTGATTGTCGATACCAGGTGAGTAGAATTTTGTACCGCAGAGGTGGTTTTTCCAGTGAAAGGACGCAGGATTTCAGACAAAAAACGAGCCAGTTTGTAGGTGGGGGAGTTGATAGTAGAGACGATGGGACGAAGGGGTGTATCTACTTTATGTATTTTGGTAAGCCGTATAATCTTGGTGGCCTGGCAGCAGAAGGTTTCAACGAAAACTGTTTAGATTGATCAATTAATGCGGTTGAATCACCGTTTAAAAATAAATAAATTTATGCAAACCGACACACCTGATGACGACCGTTTGTGTTATGCTCGAAACGTCGTGAGAATTTTTAATTGTTTTATATATTTTATTATTTTATTGTTTCCCTTCAACGTGACTTTACCGAAAGAGCTAAGAACACGCCCCCTTTCTTCCCCCGCCCCCTTCTTCCCCCGCCCCCCTCCATCCCCCGCCCCCTTTTCCCCCTTCTCCCCCCACCCGCCGCCTCCCGTCCCTCTCTCACCCGGAAGCGGAAGTGACGTCCACGCACGTGGCGTCACTTTCCTCGCGCGCTTTTTTATTTTATTTTTCTCCCGCCAAAATTCTCCGCGACGCAGTCTCCTCCCTCCCAACTTGGGCGAGAGTTGAGCCGTCATGATGATCGCGGAGGCCTACGACTCGTCAGAGCTGCCCGATCTCCTCGCTGTCTACTACCGCCGCCTCTTCCCCTACGGCCCCTACTACCGCTGGCTCAACTACGGCGGGGGTAGGAGATCTCCCCCCCTTGCCTCCACTTGCCGGGGACCCCGCGAAGCTCCGAGGGCACCATGGGGGCGAGGGGGCAGAGGGTTGAATGAGTTTTGAGTTGGTTCGCGTAAATATACATGTGTCGCGGGTTAACGGCACATTTGTATATTTACGCGATCTAACCCAAAAATATTATTTATTATGGGTTAATGTTGGTCGCGAAAGCCTACGTGTTAAACGGAGAAGGGTAGTCTTGTGTGTTGGTGGAAAAAGTAGGAGGTGGAGAGGCACAGGTGTAGACATCGATGTAGAGACTAAAAGAGATATAAAGAGACTAAAAGAGATATACACGCGGAGAAGAGATAGGGAGACACTGAGCTGTAGAGAGATACGACGATAAGACATAAGTGTGATGAGGGCCGTCACGCATCTGAAACCATTGGGGTTTGACAGCAATGATGATGGGGGGCGGTGTTTTCACATTTGTGCTATGTCGGGAGCTGCACTAAAGGCCACTTGGGGCCGCCAATGACTCGCGGGTTTTGCAATGAAAGACACTAGCGTAGAGGTAGTTGGTTGCTGAAGCACAGAGTGGATAGGACGCAACATCATTGAATGTTTCTGTATGTTGAACATCTTTCGAACCGTGCTAATCGGAGGTGCGGGGGAAGGACACAAAACATCTACCCAAGTCCACTCTTGCCATAGTTTACAAAATCGTGCTACCACCCGTAATATGAATCCACGTTCTGTTAGGTTTGTTTCAAATGGGGGTTCGAGCTCTTGTCATGTTCACGTTATCACAATCGTGAGAATGCATACGTTCTTTTGAAGACAAACATTTGAGGCTTATGAAGCCAATATATTTTTTAAAGACAAAGCACGGGAACAGATAACACGAAATGTTGTGGAGCAATGTACAGGACGTGCACGGGTGGATGTACAAAGTGTCCGTATTTTTGCTGCAACACAGTGCAGTTTCATTGTGCTTTCAAAACATAACTTTTCATTCTTGACTTAAAGCTTTCGTGATAGAAAAAAATATATTTTTTCTATCTACGAGGCTTTACCGAAAGACCCAAAGAATATGAATATAACTTTTAATGTCAGCCTTAATGGTTATTTTGATTATATAAAATGTCAACAACGAGAGCTTTGAAGGTTTATGAAACACTCGGATTAATAGTGGGTGACTTTTCAAATGGCGTTCTTCATTATACAATAAACTTCATTTCTCCGTATGTCTTGTCGGTCAGAATAGCACAGTACTGTACAGCACTTTTTATTTTCATGTACTTTTCTTTTTTTCTATCTACGTGACTTTACCGAAAGATCCAAAGAATAGCACTTCAGTCGTTTCGGTCGTGTACTTAGCCGATCATGGGCTCATTTTGACCAGAATGAACCAAGAACATACCGTGCCAATAATAAGCTGTGTACGACCTACGGACCTTTTGAGTTACAGTATGTCATTAAACCGTATTACCATGACCACGTGATTTCACCATGTTCATAGCAATGAGCGGTGGTGCCACCTGGCGGACCAGTTTTGCACTTTTTACAAAGTATACGGTAGGGGGGGGTCTAACGAGTCTTCAGGACCCCCGTAAAATACCTAACTAATTTTCCAACGATTGTCGTTTGAAAAAGAATTGTCCCGTCCATAAGGCAGACTGGTACTGACTTAAAATATATTCATTAATACACGAATTATGTTCTGTTTCAAGGCCTTAATGTGTGTTGTGTCTGTTCGCAGTGGAGAAAAACTACTTTGTGAACCGAGAGTTCAGCTTCACGCTGAAGGATGACATCTACGTGCGCTACCAGTCCTTCCAGAACCAGGCTGACATGGAGAAGGAGATCCAGAAGTGCGTCCCGTACAAGATCGACATCGGCGCGGTCTTCTCGCACAAGGTGGCCACGCGCTTGAGCCAGGGTTTACAGCAGGCATCGATTAAATGTTCCTTCGCCCACAATACATTCATGCAGATTATATATGCAAATGATACACATTCATGATAAATTTGAGAACGCAATTGTACACATGACACAAAAAACAAGTATGTGCACACAAGATGTAAAAATGAGATGCAATAGGAATTTGTTTTTTCTATGTGACCCAGGCATGCAACCATTTTCCCATAAATTAAATGGATAAATACTCTTTGAGGCCACAATAAAATTTAAGAATACATCATTTTCATCTCATTTGTATTCTGTTCATGAAGGTAACAGTCACATATGAGTAACATTTTAAAATGTGGTTAATTCCATGCATCTGTTGTGAATGTACCAGTACATTTTAATGGATGAATGTTGAATGAATGTTTTTTCAGCATAATATAATAATGTGTTAATCTTCTTTCGCACAGTACGTAGCCAACCGTCCTAATCATAGGTGTAGTTTGTCAGATCACTTTTCCCAAAATATTGCTTTAATGCCCATAAAAGCACAATTCTTTCAACTGTCAATAAAAAATATACAAGATCTCAATATCACTAGAATCTTAACCGTATTGAAGGTACAAAAAACTGAATTCATGACCCCTGTGGACATCTGCTGTCATTCTCATATTTAATTTCCAGTTGTGGCTTTGGTTTCTTTCGGTTTTAGAATAAAATTCTACAGGAAACTTTAGTTTGTGTATCTTTAAAAAGTACGAACTTAAACTCAACTATATTTCAACTATATTTGTTTTAAATTTCAGCTTTCCGACTGTTAGAATGCATACCCTCTTGGTAACAATTGCGTGTTATGTTCCAAATGTGTGTATTTATTTCCAGCCCAACCAGCACAACTCTGTGAAGATGGGCTCGTTCCAGGCACTGGAGAAGGAGCTGGTGTTAGATATTGACATGACGGACTATGATGACGTGCGCTCCTGCTGCAGGTGAACCCCTCTATACACTGATATCTTGCAGCCACTAAATTACATGAGTGAGAGGTGGCCAGGTGGATCAAGGGTCAAAGTGCTGAGCTGGTACTGTTGAGATCCTGTATTAAAGTCTGGGTTTCAACCACCGATGTAGTGAATCGATGGTCTTGGCGCAATCACTAATGACTGCAGAAAAAACAGGTTTGGTTTTTCGATTAATTCGTTTAAATTCCACCATTGAGAATAAAAGATATCGGTTTGACTCATGCAATGAACATTACTCGATAGTTTGGATAATAGGTCACTTGAGATTTCATAAGTAGTTCTGTGATATCTGCATCTGCCGACTGTCCTCCAACTTGGGGTGGTTGCACTGCTCTGTCAGACTTTCCACATGGTTTTTCTCTGTCATGACAAGATTGCCTACATCATATTAGGGATTAAACTGGGATTTTTTTCAAAACATATCCTCGCTGTGCAGCTGCTAAAAATACCACAAAGACGCGAGACTGAATGTATATCCAGACAAGACGCCCCTCGAAATTAGTGTGAATATTTATTTTCTCACATTAAAATAAATATAAATGCTTGTACAAGAACAAACAAAACAGTAAACATTACGGATATACATTTCACACGGATAAATAAAAGCATTTCAGCGCAGTGATAAAATATCAATCTTATGAACAACTGACTCCTTAGAATAAATGGGGCTAGAAATCACCCCCCTCGGCGATTCGATTAATTGTTGTGATTCGGAGTCGTGATTCGAATAAATAATAGATTTTATAGTGAGTGATATTGCCTCTTGCGGTATGCAGGGGTGGCATGAAGCTATAGCATACTATATACACAAATCTAAAAACATTAGCTCTTACGTGTACGATTTGATTCATGTAATGTCAGATTAATATTTGATTTTAATTAATGAATTGATGAAGCATTCCGCCCTTAACAATAAGTGGTGTAGTTTTTATAGTTACAATGGGGTAATTTTAGCTACTTTAAGGAAGTTGCCTGCATTTTTGAAAGTGTGGTAGTTTTAACCAATTTATTGAAGGGTCGATATTTTCAGCAACTTTTTAGCAAGTAGAGACATACGTGATCTCATTTTGGGCTGTCGGTTAAGTTCATGATTGGTGTATTTGTGTTTTTAAAAGGAATTTACTGGTGCTATTTATGTGTAATATAATGGATGTGCTGTCTTTTGTGTTTTACCAGTTCTGCAGACATCTGTCCAAATTGTTGGCCGCTGATGACAATTGCTATTAAAGTAATCGACAGAGCACTGTCAGGTAAAGGGCACGAAAGTGCTTTGCATTCCTCCAACACAGACTGTACACGTCAACACTTGGCACATATGCAAATGTAAAAAATACAATAGTTACTGCTATTGCTGTCTGCTTTATTGACATCTTAACGAATCACCCTCAATGGTTTCGTCATAATTGGGGTTTGTGATTGGATTCAAGATTCTTCTTACGTTTAAAAATATTGTAGTTATCTTTGTATTGTTTTATCTCTTATATTGTTTTATCTTTCTTATTTTGCTCTCTTAACTCACTTTCCTACCCCATCTCCCTTGCATTGCCGTGCACAGAGGACTTTGGGTTTGACCACCGGCTCTGGGTGTATTCTGGCCGGCGCGGCGTTCACTGCTGGGTCTGCGACATTGCAGCGCGCAAACTCTCACAGCCAGCGCGCTCTGCTATCGCCGAGTACCTCACCCTTGTCAAGGTTAGTGACGGATGTGGAACCGTATCTTTCGCACACCTCTCTCTTTCCGTTTACGTGTAGGTGCGGTAGTGATAGTGGCGGTGATAAGGTTGGATGCGCGTGAAGGTGCATGCTTGCACGCACCTGGCTGTGTTTTATGTGCGTGTTTAAAAATGGTTCTGGAGTCAACTGCATTGCTTGGATAGGGTATGCTCGCCTGCAGAATTATTACATCCAACTGGATAAACATAACAGCAGGGTTTCCCAAACCGGGTCACAACCAGGGTTGTGAAGGGGCCACAAATAGAAGTAAAATTAACACCGATTGAAAGTACAGGAGGGGGGCTCCCCACATGATACCTTACAGGTTTTTTAATATCCTTTGTTGTAGCAGTTACGGTTGTGAAGATTTGTGAATCAATAGCGCCTGGAAATGTGAATGTGCATGTACACACACACAATCTCGGACACGGACGTAACTATTTATTCACATGACTTAAAGACAGTGGCTATAGCAGATGAATTGTGCTGAGATTGTATGCATAGTAAATATTAAAGTTGGTCATATAAATGACCAAGATTGTACTAATGATTTATGTGTTACGTGCAGTCTTCCTCTATCGTGTAGTTTTTTCTTTATCTCTTATTGTAGATTTAGTTTTACCATTGATTCTCAGAAATCTGTAATAAACTAGATAAAAATGGTTTAACTTTTTTAACGTGTTTTATGCGTGACGACTATGCGTATTGGTTCAATAACCATCTGCACCTAAAACGTCTATTCTGCCAGGGTGGAGAAGGGATGATCAAGAAAGTGAACCTCGGGGAGAATAACAGTTTACACCCATCCATTAGGTACTGCTTTATCATCATATCTCACTCTTGAAAAGAATAGTAAATACCCACGTTAAAAGTTATTTCTTTTGAACGTGTAAAATTTTCAACAGTCTTGAGGCATATGGGTGAAACGATGCATCGAATCCTGAGCGTAACAATTAATTTCATAATGTATAAATATCATTATTTTATTGAGCCGCAATCATGAATTGAGACAGTTCATCAAATCTTTGAACGAGTTCAATATATTTTCCACCCTTAGTAGGAACGTTCATTTTACAAGTTTGCAAATTATACTTTAAAGTTTCAGTAACTGCGTCATTCCGTTTGCTGTTGCATGCCGACGTGTTATGCATTCCTTGTATGGCCGTCAGATCCACTGTATTCTAATTTTAGAAATTTATATTATTCAAGTTTGACTGTCAGTCATTTGGGCTGACAGGTTTATTTTTTACTGCTGAATTATGCTGTCATCGTACTGCCCTCAGTATCAGTTAATCATTATTTAATACACATTTTGAAGTAAACTATGAAAACTATGTTGGTGTAACATTAAATGTCACCTGCATGTGGTGTTTTACATTCTTGAGATCGCAGGAGCTGGATTGTCGAGTTCCTCTAGATTGCTACACCATAATTACAGGGTGCTCAAACGACCAGTGTCTTCTTTAGCGATCATTCACATCCTTTATTGGAGCCAGGCGATAGCCTACGGCAGTTAATCTCTCTAACAAGTGAGATCTTAATATATTTGATACATATGCACGTAAATGCCAATGTGTAAGTGATAAATATGTTAATGGCAGTGATTCATGTGTGTACATTTCAGACTAATTTTGTCACTTTATTTTATCGTATTGACCAGCGCTGCAGTTCAAGTGGTGGAGAGGTACTTTGAAGAATACGCCCTTACAAAGCAGGACATCCTGGGTACGGAGAAGGCTTGGGAGAAAGTGTTGGCGTTGCTGCCAGACAATATCCTTTCATACACAGCGTTCCGTGTTATCGTGTTGAGCACGTGAGGCAGAAAACTTCAGTTTATTTTTTTGCAAGGGGGGGGGGGGGGGGGGTGTGCAGTGAAATGCGAGTACATAGTCGGGTGCCTGTCTCTGTGCCCGTGTGTGGTGTAACGGTCAGTGCATTGTGCTGCAACCCCAGCGAACTGAGTTTGATTCCTGGCTGTAGCTAACATCAATTTGAGAACATGTGAACTGGTCCTGGCGCAGTGTGTAAAAATATCAGCACTGGGGGGACAAATCTGTGGGGTTGTGCTGTCCCCCACTAGCCAGCCGTTTGCCGCTCCAACCTGAATAGCTGCTCGCTTACAGCCCTTTCCCCAACAGCTGAGAAAATGGCTTTTCTGTGTGTGTGTGTGGAAGACTAGTGCATTGTTAACTCAATCCTAAATGAGTACCTGGGGTACATTGTGAACTTCAGCTTGTGAAGTGGCAAAGGAGGCCCAGGTGTGCACAGTGATAGGTCCGGTGTCTTCTTGTGTGCCATTCTCTTCTCTGCAGGCGCTCACTGACAGCATGTGCCCTATTATGCGTCTGTTGGGCTGAACTGGTGATCTTGATAATTTGTCGTGTTGTGTGTGTGTGTGAGAAATGCTTTTACACTAAAAATATAGCGCAACAACTGTCTGACTCAACTCTGTCATTGGCATTCTGACTTGGTGGAACAAATGTGTCCGCACACGGATCACCGCAGCGTGGGGCCAGCTGCCTGCACATTCTCTTCGACGCTGTGGCCGCACTGACCACTTGGCATGCGTCCGATGGGCAACCGAATCCGAGCGCAAGTGGTCGCTAACTTGTTTGAGTTGGGACCCCCGATCCTGATGCAAAACCTTTTACGAAGCCATTGCGCCTAAATCAATAAAAGTCCATCTCTCTAAAATGTAAAGATGGTCAAAACTAAGTAATACGATTACAAATTTGAGATTTGATGTGCATATTCAACCACCCATCTAATGACTCGATTTGGCATATAGCGACTAATAATTTTGATGATTAAAATAGATTCTTATCCCCGCAATGCACATCATATAGTGCTTTTAAAGTCGATCATTCGATGGTTTATGCAAATTATGTGTTAAAGTACATGTGCGGTCCTTTTGTCCATGCATTGCTGGATGAGGGCCTCCTCACATACAGGTCATGGAAGTTAATTAACCATGCCTCACCGCAGTGGTGAGCGTGAGTTGGTGAAAGCACGAAGCATAAATGTTTGAACATAGTACAGTACAGTATTGGATTTTGCTTTGCTGCTGTCTGCTGACAACTATGTATTAATGTTATACTGTGATTAGGGTAATGGAGAACAAAACATGAAACTGTTCAAACGAGTCGATAATATAATAAATGTTTGAATAGAGTTGTGATGTTTGAATCACAGAAGCGGGAGGTTGAAGCTTACATGCCAAATATTAAGATCGTGTTAATGTCGGTTGACTGTTCACTGTACTAGTGTTACTTGGAGGCTGAGTAGCATTAACCTCAACAGTTCAGCCCAAGTCATTATCTTCTGTTTGACAGTGAGTGATTAGACTTTGTTTTGATGAACTTTGATTGCAGTGGTGAACCTTGACACATTATTTTCTGATGCTCATCATTGGGAAACGCTTTGAGCACTTTACCATCTGTCTTAATTTCTTTCCAACATTGGGGATGAATGTGGATTGCATAACTTCGTATGAGCCAGGTTTACTGTTGCACAACTTTGTAATTTTTTACCAGCTCATAGTTTACTTTGCTGCAATGGTACTGGCTTTTAAAAAAGATATACCATAACCTGTGATGTTTGATCTTTACTTGAGATTAAGCCTTGACTGACGACAGTGCACGTATACGGGAAGAGCTGAGGAAAGATCTGCTCATCCAGCCAAACTCGGTCATACGCTGGGAGGTCATAAAACAGAAATTCAGTAAAGTGAGTTGAACAAGACAATATTATTTCATTTTACCCTCCTAATGGATTGCATATGTGCTAGCAGAACTAGTACATAAATAGTGGCATTCTGATTCTTATTCCAATTAACAAAGGCTGATAAGACATATATATTGAAGCATTCATCAAAATTGTTTATTTGTCTGTCAAAATTGAGTGGCAAAAAAGTAGTGCTCAAATAACACGAATGTTAATAAACATGAGTGGTGTAAAATTCCCATGCTTCATCTGAATGTCTGTTTAGTTTCTGCCTGTAGGAGTGGAATGATATCTATAATATATATGCACAATTGTGACATTGACTCATGTTAATTTGTATCGTATTCTAGAAGGGCTAAAAGACTGAACTCTTCACTCACCTGAAGACGATTGCTTGTGTTGCGATTGAAACGTCGTGATATTTTTTTATTATTTTTCTATCTACGTGGCTTTACTGAAAGACCCATAGAATATTGGTATAAAGGTATTTGATTCTATGCTTTAAAAATACAATGTTTTTTTTCATATATTGGACCCAAAAAAATGATGGCCCAGCGATTGACCGATTTTACTTATACACCGGGTCAACCTAATGATCTACATTACTTAAAGTCGTTTGTGAAACGCATAAAATGTATATGCTTATGAGTGAATCGAGTAATACACTTGGTATAAAATGTGATGCGAAAGTCAATAGAAATAATAAATGTAGCTACTCCACTGCTGAATAGATGCCGCCCCACATTGTCGCCATCCCTCATGGTCTTGCAATGCCACAACGGGTGTTTAATATACTTGTGATCTAAATTCATTGACCCATCTTTGGGATGGTCATCCGCTTGGGAAACTTCCTCCTTTGGCTACCAATTCATCACCAGTCTTGCCCACCAGCCAATCACTACCTTCTAACCGTGATGTATCCTGCCCAATCCCACGTGCTCTCTTTAATTCAACAGGATGTCTCTAACCCGCATTTGTTCTCTGATCCATGTGTTTTTCTGTCTGTGTCTCAGTGTTATTCCTAGAATGCTTCTCTCCATGATTCTGTGCGCACTTTTCTTCTTTTTGTAAAGCCCACCAATGTTGAGTAAAGATGTGAAGCTGGCCTGCATCGCAGTCACAGGGTGGCATATGTGTCATGGTGCAGGGTGGGGGCAACATAACGGCAAGGCACTACGTGTCGGAGGTGATGCTACAATTTTGCTACCCCCGCCTTGATGTCAACGTCAGCAAAGGCATCAACCATCTGCTCAAGAGCCCTTTCAGCATCCACCCCAAGACCGGTGAGCTGCACTAAGCATAGCTCGTGTCTTTTGGACGCTTCAAAGTGCACTGCAGCCAGGTCTCCAACTGCGCATGGGCACCGTTCAGCTGACTAGAGTGAGGCATTTGCAGCCAGGTTGCGTGTCAGCTGATCATAACAATGCAGAAACGGCTGCATGCAGTCTTGTGTAAGGAGACCACTGCTACTCTGCATTCGGAGAGAGCCGTTCACAAGGCAAGGCTGTGCATGGTTTTGGTGATGCTAAAACTAGGCACGTGACGATGCGTCGATTGTTCGATTCTAATTTATTACACTCGGGATACGTGTAGGAAATTGGGCTTGTAAAAGTATAAATGTTTTCTGATTTGTTTGTATGTAATTGATTCATGAAACCCTTAGAGGCACTAGTCAGGCTATAAAAACATTTAATCTGTAATTTAATCTTTACCCTCGAACCATGACAAAACGTGAAATTGCAAGGGTGGCGAATCGTTAGGCCTGTCTTTGGAACATTGTTGTCCTCTTGATGCCACTTTTTTATTTGTCGATGCTAAGTATTGTTAAGTGTTGTGGTCAATGGAGGACGTAAGATACAAGCTTTGAACAGGAATAGTGTAAGGGTACTGCTTGTAATATTACAACTCCAGTATAAGATGTTTAAAAACAACTGAAACAAAGATTTTAGGAAATTTCACGTCCCTTGCTCGTTGTGAATAGAACAAAAATGAGCCAGTGTGTTCAGTGCATGAGTCCTATCTGTATTCAAAAGGAATGTGTGTGACTGTCCGCTGAGTACTTGTAAACAAAGTGGGATGGTCCCTCAGCATGCAGTCGTTTATCTTTAAATCCACTTTTATGCCTACGATTCATGCAGTTTAATATTTTAAAATATATATTCAGGGAATTGTTTTTTATTTTGGCTAAAATAAAACAGCAAAAAATACTTAGCAAACAAAACCTTACAAATGAGACAGTACATGCAGTGCAAATAACGGACAAATGTGCCGGAAAAAAATCGATTCTTGAATCGAATCGTGTCCCCAAATTGTGATGCCTTATTAAATGACAAGGGGGATGAATATTTCTATGCCTACTGTGATACTTAGTGTTTCTCTGGCCGTCACCTTTTACTGACGGATCTTCTGTGCTTATGCTGCCAGGCCGGGTTTGCGTGCCCATCGACGTGGCCAGGGTGGATGAGTTCGACCCCTTCACGGTGCCCACCATTAGGTGAGTGGAGTGGCGGGGGAATGACCGTGTAGTCACTTGGGTGCGTACGCGTGTACAGTCAAGTCCCTTGTTGAACCGGAAGAGAAGCCGTGTGCAGAATTTCTGGACACGTGATGCCAATGACGATAACAGTGGGGCCCATCCGTTATCCAGTGCTTTGGAGGTGGGGTTGGTGGATCGCTAAGAGACTTATGTGTGCAAAACTCGCAGGCTGCTTAGTTAAGTTGACCAGTATCTGGCAGAAGAGTAAATATGTTGCTGACCTGTCTACCATTCTGAGTTTAATCCTCGAAGTGTTCTCCCATTTAAAAATTATTTCTTAAACATTCTAATACTCAGTGAGGTGTTCCAGAATAAGTAAAGAATCATTACTGTAATACATGAGTGCTGCAGTAAAATATGGGGGGGATTAATCTTCTTTGGTTCTTTCGGTAAAGTCACGTAGAATGAGAATAAAATAATAAATTGATAAAATAAAATAACAATAAATTTCTCACGACGTTTCGGACACAACACAAGCGGCCTTCATCAGGTGAAGGGACGAGACTGTCTTCAGGACAGCGCTGATGAAGGCCGCTTGTGTTGTGGCCGAAACGTCGTGAGAATTTTATTGTGTTATTTTATTTGATCAATTTATTATTTTATTCTCATTCTACGTGACTTTACCGAAAGACCCAAAGAAGATGAATCCTTGCAGTCACGAAAGCTTTAAATCGAAATTTATGTGGGGGATGTTTTTTCTTTTCTTTTAGCCAGATTTGCCGGGAGCTCGACCGAGCAGTGGAGCCGGTGACCTCCCCAGGGCAGAGCAAGCTGGATGTAGAGAGGGCCAAGGATGGCGGCGCGGGGGAGCTGGCAGCCAAGCGGCGCAGGGGTAGGACCTCCTGCACTGTCCACTCCGTCCCCTGTGCACACAGCACCATGACACATGACCCATGTCCTCACTGTACACACAGCACCATGACACATGGCCCATGTCCTCACTGTACACACAGCACCATGACACATGGCCCATGTCCTCACTGTACACACAGCACCATGACACGTGGCCCATGTCCTCACTGTACACACAGCACCATGACACGTGGCCCATCTCCTCCCCTTGTGTACAGCACCACGATGCGTGGCACAGGGCAGCTGGCGACAATCTGTATAACCCTCTAAATTGGATCTCATACATTCTTTAAAGACTTAAATAGATAATTTCTCATCGATTGACTTAACATGCATTGTCACTAACGCCAAGGTTGGTAAGGATTAGCGCCAGATGTGTAATGACTAATCTCCCCTGCGATTTGATCAATTGTCAGGAATTTGGGGTCACAATTCTATCCAAGAATGTAAAAATTTTCGTCTAGTTTTTCTGTATTGTTTTTCTATCTTTGCTTAAATATTTAGCCTAATTATGACATTAACATATTTGCATACATTCAAATAATTATTGCACGCATGATTTTATGCACATACCTTTCGTGTAAAAATATCAGTTGATTATCTACATCTTTACACGCCTAGTTCATGATATTTTAACACATTTTAAACATTTAATCTTTCTACTAGTCTTATCTAAATTAAAACGTTAAAAATTAAAGATAAACATTACTCCAGCGCCACAAGTGTGCCACATGCACACAACGCCAACAGGGCGTCATGCTGAGTCAGGGCCTGCAGGGCTTCGTCTCAGTCCCCTCTGCTCATTGTTCCCCATGCTCGATGTGACTCAGACTACAAGCGAACGAGCATGGCGGCGAGCGTGCGCGTGTTTGAGCGATTTGTGGACAAGCTGGAGGCTTCTTGGAAGGGAGAGCTGCTCAAGAAAAGCGGTAAAGCCAACCGAAAGTGGGGACACACGATCAAAATAGAAACTGCACGACGCCTCTCCAGCGGGAAACGCCACAACATGCTGCTTGACCAAAGCGTTATGTATCTGTGTTTTTGTATAGCCCTGACCTTCAAAATTGTTTGCACATAGCGCTATGCCATCCAAATGTAATTTTCCAAATGTTGCAAAATATGGTTTTATCCAGCAATTTGGATGAGTTTAGCCAAATGTTTTCAATTAGACAAAACATACCAGCCTGTAGAGTTTTGTTGCATTGTCCACTATGCAGTTGTGCTCACCGCAAAGTGAATCCCCACGTCTGCACAGCTGCAATATAGGTATATTTGGCTGCACAGGTGCGAGGTTTTTTTGTTTAAAACAAATACGTATGGGCGCAAGTGACGGGGGGGGGGGGGGGGATTGAAATTCACTTGATATGTCATTTTGACAGGTGAGCGCGTGCAGGCTGGTGTTAGCGATAGGGTCGGACAACCCAATGACCCTGCGCTCTCTCACCCGTGTGTGTCACTCTTTCAGATCTGAAGAAGGAATTCTAAACATCCCAGACCTCAGAGGCTCAGCCGAGGGGAAGAGTGCACGGATTGCTATGTTGCTCTGCAACCCAAGGGCTTTCTGATTAGCACCTCAAAAACGGCGTCTGCTATCGATGTGTTAAGTTGTGGCAGCAAGACAAAGAATTGTTTTACAGCTCTGTTTAACCTTCCGGTAAACCTTAAACATGTGGTAGCTTGTTCTAAAGGCATTGTAACTCTTTCTGGGTACTGACCCATATGCTTTGTATCGTACAGGTTTAGTTTTTAATAATAAGTGATGTGTGAATTATTCCACTGCAGTGGACCATCTGTATATATTCCATTATTTCTGTTTCTTTGAATCCCATTTTTAGGATTATGTCAATAAAGTATATTTCTTACTGTTCATTAGCTAACTTTTGGAATGTTTTATGTTAGTCCTGCCTTGAATGAATGCAATAGATTGTCTTCAAAGTGGATGAACCTAATAACATTTGACGGTTGTTGCACTTTAGTTTCCGATTTTTTTTATCGATTGCCCCTTTTCAGTTGCATGTCTAATCTCAAACATGAATATATACTTCATAAGGCATCAATTTATTGATTGAAATGTACATTTACATTCACGATACTTGTATCGAATTGTGCATATTATATGTACTTCGTGAAATTTCTACGCTAATGTGACATTTAGAAAAATGGGTGAGCGAAACTGCTCAAATTGGTTTGAAACAATTCAAACTAGATGCAAAAAAATTAGTCAGAATATAAATTAAATCAAATTGCAACCTCATCAAAGTGACTCAAAGTACTGTGGGGAGGATTAATCTTTACATCCCTATTCGATATTCCTTCATGTATCAGCTGTTTTGGCCAGGTTACCATTAAAAAAAAGTAGCTTAGGTCAGTGAGTCTTACGTGAAATAAACTGACCGGCTGATTTTAACAGCAACATCAAGTAACGGATTTTGCTGCTTAAATTTGGTCTGCACTTTTCTGAGCCTTAATGTGTAATGTCTTCAGATCTCCAAGCAAACATGGTTCAGCCTGGTCTGTGTAGGTTGGCAACCAGCCCCAAAAGAAGCCCCTCTCCAAATTAATCAAGAGACTGTCTACAAGAACGCAGCTTCTTTCATTGCCAAGGCATTGTGCTATAGCTACCATGCCAAAAAACTTAAAATCCCCACCTTATAAACCCTAGGTCCTGTTTACTCTGGGAACAATACAGTTCCCATGGCACTCTTGTGTAAAGAGAAGAGATGCAAACACCCCGACGATATCCTTGCTAAAATCTCGCTACGCCTCAATTGATTACCTGGCTTGACTAAGGTTTCGCCAGCCAAGGTGTCCCTTTAATGGAGAGAGAGGTGTTGCGTGCCACTTGAACCTTCCTGGCCCACAGGGCACTGTCGCTCACAGTAGATTTATTTGAAGGGTCGGCCTTGGAAATGTTTATATAACAAACGTGCACTCCCTGTCCTTTATGCAATACAGCGTTTGTCAGGCTCAAAATACAGTTCTTTTTCGTCTGTACCATGTAAAATGTGTACAAAGGTTTGACATTGAGATATAATCAATAGTGACTTTGACTAGATGCGTAATTCTGCAAAAGTCTGTGTTTTCTTGTATCGTCGAGAAGGGGGGGGGGGCTACTCGTTTATATTTCGGTGATTAAATTCCACAATTCCGATGGACACGGCCAGTTTCTGCATTGGAAGATCACTCGCTGTTTACAGTAATAAGTAGGATGAATAATAAGGATTTTCGCATACAAATGTAGTTAAGTAACTTGCCACTTTCCAACATCGGCAGTCACTGGTGTGGTGTCGTAATTTACGTGTGATTTTACAGTAGCACCCTGGTTATAATTGCGTAGAATATGCCAGGTTTATGTCAACGTATAACTCATTCACTGTGTCCTAAATATGTTTAATATATAATGGAAGTATATGTTTTTACACTCTTCGTGAGTATAGCTAAGCTATTCGGAAGGAAGTTACAGTAACTACATTTTAATCCATGCTATCAATTGCCATATTTGTTATGCTGACTTCCCACAGTTGTACTCAACGCAACCTTTGCCTGTCCAATACGTTATGACATGGCGGTACTTTCAGATTGACAGTGTCTGTAAACACAACATCGCGTCAGTGCAGTCGAGTTTCACTCGCGCTCAGCATATTTTAACCGTGCACGCATACAAAGTCGGAGAGGGGAGGGGGGTAATGATTGGTTAAAAATAATTCAGGTTACACGGTCTAAAGCCCCCCACCCCCCAGTTGCTGCATGAGTGATTGAGAGAAGCCAGACATTTATACCGGTGATGATGGCATACTGTACCACTGCACGGAGCTCTGTTGCACATGTGTGTTACGTCCAACGGCGGCGGAATGCCCCCTGCGGGTTATGCTTTATAAAGCTCGGCACGTGCAGATCAAGCCGCGTCTCCGCGCGTGCATGGGAGCGGTGGTGCAGTTTGGGTTCCGCATTGCGTTTACGAGCCCAGCAAAATAAGTGCTGTGCCTGTTCGCGGCTCGCAACGGAATGTGTGCATGTTGAACTTCTTTCGCATCGTACGTCGCCAACCGTGTTAATCGGAGGTGCGGGGTGGGGGGGACAACAAACGAAACATAAAATCTAGAAATAAATGAGTTTTCAATCTAGATTTAAAAGGGCTCCAGTGGCTTCCTAATAACGGGAGAAGAGCGTTCCAGACGGCCGCAGACGCGCGTCTTAAGAGCGCGCGATGGGGTGACCGTCCTTGTTCGATGGATAGCCAAAAGCTGCAGTAGGGATGACCGGAGTTTGCGTGATGGTTTATGCAACTTTGAACCGGCTCCTCATAGATAAACTCGGCCTTATTTTTAGTACCTGGTGTGTGTGTATACATCAGCAGCGCTGGGAAGACAACGGTGGCCACGGGGTGGTGTTTCCAACATCCCTCTTATGTGTTATGCAGCAATGGTCGATTGCTAACAACACTTGTCCTGACATTCCGTTAATATGCTGTACATGGGAGATATTTCTTTGTACGGACTGCGTTATAAGTGAAGCGTTCTATTGACTTTGGGTGGTTTAGCTCTGTGGAGCTGAACATTGCAATTTCGCGTATTTATCCAATTCCACGCCCACGTATTAACTACTACAGTGAGGGAAAAAAAGTATTTGATCCCCTGCTGATTTTGTACGTTTGCCCACTGACAAAGAAATGATCAGTCTATAATTTTAATGGTAGGTTTATTTGAGCAGTGAGAGACAATAACAACAACAAAAAGCCAGAAAAACGCATGTCAAAAATGTTATAAATTGATTTGCATTTTAATGAGGGAAATAAGTATTTGACCCCCTATCAATCAGAAAGATTTCCGGCTCCCAGGTGTCTTTTATACAGGTAACAAGCTGAGATTAGGAGCACTCTCTTTAAGAGTGTGCTCCTAATCTCAGCTCGTTAGCTGTATAAAAGACACCTGTCCACAGAAGCACTCAATCAGATTCCAAACTCTCCACCATGGTCAAGACCAAAGAGCTGTCCCAGGATGTCAGGGACAAGATTGTAGACCTACACAAGGCTGGAATGGGCTACAAGACCATTGCCAAGCAGCTTGGTGAGAAGGTGACAACAGTTGGTGCGATTATTCGCAAATGGAAGAAAGACAAAAGAACTCAATCTCCCTCGGCCTGGGGCTCCATGCAAGATCTCACCTCGTGGAGTTGCAATGATCATGAGAACGGTGAGAAATCAGCCCAGAACTACACGGGAGGATCTTGTCAATGATCTCAAGGCAGCTGGGACCATAGTCACCAAGAAAACAATTGGTAAGACACTATACCGTGAAGGACTGAAATCCTGCAGCGCCCGCAAGAAAGCACATACATGCCCGTCTGAAGTTTGCCAGTGAACATCTGAATGATTCAGAGGACAACTGGGTGAAAGTGTGGTCAGATGAGACCAAAATGGAGCTCTTTGGCATCAACTCAACTCGCCGTGTTTGTAGGAGGAGGAATGCTGCCTATGACCCCAAGAACACCATCCCCACCGTCAAACATGGAGATGTCAACATGCTTTGGGGGTGTTTTTTTCTGCTAAGGGGACAGGACAACTTCACCGCATCAAAGGTACGATGGACGGGGCCATGTACCGTCAAATCTTGGGTGAGAACCTCCTTCCCTCAGCCAGGGCATTGAAAATGGGTCGTGAATGGGTATTCCAGCATGACAATGACCCAAAACACACGGCCAAGGCAACAAAGGAGTGGCTCAAGAAGAAGCACATTAAGGTCCTGGAGTGACCTAGCCAATCTCCAGACCTTAATCCCATAACAAATCTGTGGAGGGAGCTGAAGGTTCGATTTGCCAAACGTCAGCCTCGAAACCTTAATGACTTGGAGAAGATCTGCAAAGAGGAGTGGGACAAAATCCCTCCTGAGATGTGTGCAAACCTGGTGGCCAACTACAAGAAACGTCTGACCTCTGTGATTGCCAACAAGAGTTTTGCCACCAAGTACTAAGTCATGTTTTGCAGAGGGGTCAAATACTTATTTCCCTCATTAAAATGCAAATCAATTCATAACATTTTTGACATGCGTTTTTTTTGGATTTTGTTGTCTCTCACTGTTTTTTTTTGTCTCTCACTGTTCAAATAAACCTACCATTAAAATTATAGACTGATCATTTCTTTTTTTTATTTAAAGCTTTCGTGACTGCAGGGATTCATATTATTGGTTCTTTCGGTAAAGTCACGTAGAAGGGAAACAATAAAATAATATAAATATTAAATAAAAATGTATTAATTTATTGTTTCCCTTCTACTTGACTTTGCCGAAAGAACCAAGAATATGATCATTTCTTTGTCAGTGGGCAAACGTACAAAATCAGCAGGGGATCAAATACTTTTTTTCCCCTCACTGTATATGTGCTTTCTTGAGCAGGGGGACCTTGCGGGCGCTGCAGGATTTCAGTCCTTCACGGCGTAGTGTGTTACCAATTGTTTTCTTGGTGACTATGGTCCCAGCTGCCTTCAGATCATTGACAAGATCCTCCCGTGTAGTTCTGGGCTGATTCCTCACCGTTCTCATGATCATTGCAACTCCACGAGGTGAGATCTTGCATGGAGCCCCAGGCCGAGGGAGATTGACAGTTCTTTTGTGTTTCTTCCATTTGCGAATAATCGCACCAACTGTTGTCACCTTCTCACCAAGCTGCTTGGCAATGGTCTTGTAGCCCATTCCAGCCTTGTGTAGGTCTACAATATTGTCCCTGACATCCTTGGAGAGCTCTTTGGTCTTGGCCATGGTGGAGAGTTTGGAATCTGATTGATTGCTTCTGTGGACAGGTGTATTTTATACAGGTAACAAGCTGAGATTAGGAGCACTCCCTTTAAGAGTGTGCTCCTAATCTCAGCTCGTTACCTGTATAAAAGACACCTGGGAGCCAGAAATCTTTCTGATTAAGAGGGGGTCAAATACTTGTTTCCCTCATTAAAATTCAAACCAATTTATAACATTTTTGACATGCGTTTTTCTGGATTTTGTTGTTATTCTGTCTCTCACTGTTCAAATAAACCTACCATTAAAATTATAGACTGATCATTTCTTTGTCAGTGGGCAAACGTACAAAATCAGCAGGGGATCAAATACCTTTTCCCTCGCTGTATATAACACGTGGGTCTAGTTAAGACACTCGGATGTAGACAAAATGATGCACTGTGTACGTATTCTATCCTGTCGGGAAAATGTGGGTTGATGCCGGAGAACTGTTAATGACTCGATTGCAACATGTTGACTCTTTTCCTTTTTTTAATTAAGCACATAGTGTTCAAGGCTGTGGCGCTTTAGACAAATCATGATTACTGGCGGGCGCATGTGACCCCAGCACACGCCCGTCAAATCGACCCATTTGGTCCAAACTCCAGACGCAGCATGGCGCCACGCTGGCGAGATGTTAACTACCTCGCCAGGAGCTCGTGGGTTCGATCACGACGCCTATATATTTGAGAGTTTTCATGTCTGTCTAACCGTGGTTGCGTGTTTTTATTCCCGGGTTCTCCGGTTTTTCCCTCCACATTTAGAAACGTGCGTTTAGATTATTTGGCTGCTATACATTTCCACGTGATATGTCACTTCGTTGAGCTATCATTTGTGACCAGGTCGCTTCTGAAAAACAGCTATATAGCTCAGTGGACCTTACCTGGTAGCATGGGGTACTAAACAGGGCCATGTCGGCAGCTTCCACCAAATACATCGCAGGCAGTGTCTCCTATGCCTAGCTTACCCGGTGTATATTCACATAGTGAAGTTGAAGCGAGACAGGGCTTTTACACTGGCCCTACGGCACTTACATTTTCATATTAACTAACCCATGGCATAAAAGTGCCTTCCTTCGATGTATTTTCGCGTTGGACCGTGTGTTCAGCATGATATCCGACGTTTTCGCTCCAAGTGCTGGTGACTAGTTCTTGGAAATGCTCCCAGCAGCGTCAGACAGGCCAGACAGCACACGATATAACACGAAATATATACATCGGATAGCTAGCTCAACGACCGTATAAGAGTGGCTTTGCTAAATGAGGTGGATGGTGTCTCTCGATGACGACCGTCGCCTCTCGTGTCCTGCCAGCCACGGGATACGGCTGCACATTTAACCTGAATAGTTAGATTGTGTACAGTTTTAGTAGGTTTTGTAAAGCCTGCAGTGATTTTGCAGCCACGTTACAACCCCATTGAGAGGAGTCTATTGAAATGGAGACCTGGAGTCGCAGTGGATATTTGGGAACGTTTAATACGCTTGTACTTAGGCTCTATCGGCATAGAAGTCTGGCCAAGTGTCGCTACGGTTAGAGTGCTTGTCTCAAGTCGATTGACTCGGCCTATCATCTTAATCGTCGTATCGGCCAGAGCAGAAATGTGTAACACGTAAGGTACCGAAACCTTAGGGTGAATTATTTGATAACCCACTCATCAAACGGTTATCACATGATTCACAGTTATTTATCACGTGAAATTATAACCATGACTTAAGTTGTGCCACCCCACGTGTGGACTCGTGGACGATTACAGGGGCGATTAAGTCAGTACTGTACCACTTTGTGGGACGCCAGAATGGATTGTTCCTTTGTGTGCTACCCCTGCCATAAGAATGTTGAATTGACACCATTCACCCCATTCCCCAAATACAAATTAACAGTATCAACAGGAGCTAAAGGATGGTGACACCTTCATATACGTGTACATATAAGGTACACATGTTGTATGAACCAAATACTTCGTGCAAAGTGAGCTGCGTATACCAGATACATCTACACTTTGCTTGATTTTGAACAAGATAGAGCCACAACTTTATACATACATTATATATTACTGGCATTGTTATATTCACTGCTGGATGAAGGCCTCCCCATGCAATGTCAGTCATGGAAGTTGTCTGACCATACTCAACCATGCTGGTCAGTGTGGGTTAGTAAAGATAAGTGCCCAGGTGTGTTTCGATTTAAAGCTTTCGTGACTGCAGGGATTAATCTTCTTGGTTATTTGGGTAAAGTCACGTAGAAGGGAAATAATAAAATAATAAACAATACAACATAATAAAGGACGGCTACTTGTGTTGTGGCCGAAACGTCGTGAGAATTTTATTTTATTATGTTTTATATTTATTATTTTATTATATCCCTTCTACGTGACTTTACCGAAAGAACCAAGAAGATGCCCAGGTATGGTTCATATTTTACTCCCCATGGATGTTTGCCATGGTCAGGGATTTAACTTGGGAAAACCAAGTTCATAACACAGTGCCCTAACCACTCTGCTACCGCTCGCCCAGGCTTTACTGATGATGGGTGGGAAATGGGGAATGCATTTAAAAGCACATTCCTTTACGCTGCCGTGTATCATCATTAGACACACATTATTCAGGTTTTCTCATGGGAGACGTTACCATTTCAAAGACATACGTTTGGTATTGCCCTTGAATGTACTCCGGTATATTCTGCCATATAAGGTCACATTTGCCCAATTTTTTTTTCAAAAACAGTTATACAGTATTATTATAATTTAGAAGCATTTGTCAGTCAACGTCTGGATGAAGGCCTCCACTCTGTCGGTCATGGGAGTTGTTTTAACCATGCTTCACCAGGCTGGTCAATGCATGTTGTGAAGGGGGTGGAGGGAAGGGGGTACAGAATTGGTTCAGATTACACTCGCCATTGCTGCTCGCCGTGGTTGAGAGTTGAAGGCCGGTGGGCAGCTTAATAGTTCAGACAGTGAAGCTACTGTGCAACTGCTCCCCATATTTGGGCAGTAGGCCAATAAAAACACTTGAATTTTGCTTGCACCGGTGAGACAAGGCCATGAAGGAGGCTGTCTCTGTAGGCCAGTCGATTTCAAGGACAATGCGTACATTATCAAAGGGTATTCAAAGGGTATTTGTTCGCACGTTTTACCAAAAGTACGTTGGGTTAATGCAAACGTGGTGCCTTGTAATCGGTGTCTTAGTTTGGCGTTTTACCATCATAATGCCTGTACTATTGCCAGAACACTGGCAAGAAGGGATTAGTAAATATCGGTACAGTAACACTGCTTCAATGCGTACTTGGCTGCCCGTAACCTAGCTTGGGGCTAAAATCATATTACAAGGTTCACTCTACTTATGGGAGCGTTTGCCAGAGAATCCCAGTGCCTGAGAACGTTTCTTATTTCATGGAGCGTCTGAGTGAAGTTAACTCGAGTTACAGTTGTGCGAGATTGTTGCGAACACTTACTCCCAAGTCCATTAATATCCGTCGATCGCCCGCCCGCCCGCATGAATGGACAGATAGGTAGGTCGATTGTGGGCGATCAAGGAAAGGAAGGATTTGTGACTTATTTGGGATGAACTTTGTACATCCCGACACGCGGCTGGCTGACCTCGCCACTAAGTCGCGATGGAATGGGAAGTGAATTTCGTTTAAGTTTGAAATGAGAGACTCGCCCACGCGTTGAATGACCTCATGGGTGCGATGCGATCGGCGTCAGCCCCTTGGGCGCCTTCCACAATCACGAACTTGCAATACTTAAATGTTCAACTGAGATGGAAAATGAGAGCAGGGATTGGGGGGTCAACCATGCTCAGGGCTCCGGGGATAACTCTAACCGGGGATAGTTAGATCCATTAGTGCAAGCCAAAGCAGTGGGGTGTAATTACGTGTATTGACACGTGGATGAAGTGTTCATAAAACTCCAAATGATGAATGATGGTAAGAAGACATTTCCTCTCCACTATTTCAACACGGTTTTCATCGCCCAGAGTTATGGCACCCAATTCAGCATTCAGGCATTGCACAATAGAAATTCAATTAATTGAGGTTTTTGGGTATTACTCGTCACCTGCTGCCTTGAATGAACCCAGGTTGTACCTCATGGAATGGCGCAGTTTCGAGAGGCAAAGCCAGAGCCTTGGCATCTATTTTATAATCCGAATTTAATAATGAGATTAACATTTAATTAACAATAATGGCTGGCGATAACTCAAGCAGGCGTCAACTGCCATACCAGGGTTGTCCCAGTAATAGATGTTTGTAAGTGAATACAGTCGGGGTAGTAATTCAGATATAAATATGAGAGCTTTTAGAGTGAATGTAAAGGGGATTCTCAATATGTAATTATTGCTATTACCGTTATTAAGTGTTTATGAGGAATTGTCCAGACACCTCGGTGTAGGACGCTCCTAAAAATATAGTGTTCAGACCTGGTGTGGCTTTCCTGGGTAAATATTATTGGGAGTGAATTAATGATTGCAAGCTGCACATATCTACGGGAGTGAATGAATGACTGCAGGCTGCATATATCTGGGAGTGAATGACTGCAAGCTGCATTATTCTATGGGAGTGAATGAATGACTGCAGGCTGCATCTCTATGGGGGTGAGTGAATGAATGACTGCGGGCTGCATATATCTGGGAGTGAATGACTGCAGGCTGCATCACTGGGAGTGAATGACTGCAAGGCTGCACATCTATGAGAGTGAATGAATAACTGCAGGCTGCATCTCTATGGGGGTGAGTGAATGAATGACTGCGGGCTGCATATATCTGGGAGTGAATGACTGCAGGCTGCATCACTGGGAGTGAATGACTGCAAGGCTGCACATCTATGAGAGTGAATGAATAACTGCAGGCTGCATCTCTATGGGGGTGAGTGAATGAATGACTGCGGGCTGCATATATCTGGGAGTGAATGACTGCAGGCTGCATCTCTGGGAGTGAATGACTGCAAGGCTGACCGGAGGCTGTGACGACAGAGAACAGCTCGCGTCCTTATCCAAAAATACGTGCCGTGACCGAGGCTCAGGGTCTGGGTTGGTGGTTGACGGGGTGGGAGGGGGGCGTGTGCGGTTGGAGGGGGGATCAAGGGGTTGGTGAGAGGTGGGAGGCGTGGGGGTGGCAGGAGGTGAGAGGCGGGGAGTTCCTTTTGCGCTCTGCTGTTCCCACAAAAACCACACATCCATCCCACCCTCCCTTCCTCTACCCATCCCTCCCCCACGGCCCACACCGTGCTCCACGCTTTAAATAGCGAGGCCACCTCCGCAACCCGTGATTTTATTGCGCTCGCTTACGGCTGATGTCAAAAAGTAACAACAACAGCAGCAAGCAACAGCGGCCAGGATGAGGCGCAATGCGATGATACGCCGAGGTTTGTGGTAAAGTCAGAGTTCTGCTACGGAACCGAGACCTCCCCGTGGCTTTCGCCCTTGGGTCCTGGGAGTCCGTCCCGTGATTGGCGAGGGCGGCTGTCGGGAGCCTGCGCCCCGCGTGTGTGCGCGCGGAGAAAGGTTCCGAGGAGCTCGGCTGAAAGCACGCGGCGCTGACGGCGACTCAACGCCGCGCAGAGGCCCCCAGGTGAAGACGATGCACACGGATCGTTTTGTTCTCCTGGCAACCCCGTCTCTCCAGCTCTGTGCCGCCCTGTCTATCTCTCTGCTGCTCTCTTTCTCCCCCTCCCCATCTCTCTCTCTCTCTTTGTTTGGCTCTGTCTGTTACCCTCTGTCTTTCTGTCTGCCCGCCGTTGCTCTGTCTTTGTGTCTGCACGGATCATTGTTCTCCTGGCTCTCTGCCGCGCTGTCTGTCTCTCTACTGCTCTTTTTTTACATCTCTCCCTTGTGTTGGTTCTGTCTGTTACTTTCTGTCTGACGCTGTTGCTCTTCTTTTGTGTTTCTCTGCCGCTATCTCTCTGTTCCTGTGTCTATCTGACTCGGTGTCTCTTGTCGCTCTCTCTAGAGGAGGTTCTTTCGCCAGCTGTGGCGCGTTCAAGCATTTGCAGGGGCTGCGCCTTAACCGTTTAACTTTTTTGGGCAAAGACACACGTGAATGTCACCATCATAATCATTATTAACGCTGGGGAAAATCGCGCAGCCCATGTACGATGTGTGTGTGGTTCTATCCTTTAGCGAAGACGTGGTCAACCTCGGACCGTGTGCGTGTCGTGTTATCTCTAGCCCACCGTTATCTCCATCCGTGCGATATCAAACAGCGTTGTGCACAATGCCCCTTTGCGACGTCCCGGTCTTCGCTTATCCGTCGCCCCGTCACGGAGAATGTCTCCCTGGAATGTGATGATGGCGATGGCGATGAGAGATAACGGAGCTGTCTGCTGCTATCCGTTAGAGGGCGTGAACGGGCACGCGAACGGGGAGACAGAGCCGCTCTCTCTCAACTCTCTATCGGTTAGAATGTCGTCACATCGTTGAACCACCCGCTTGTTGATGATTTTAAACGGCGCTTTATGAACACGAGGTGTGCTAATTGAGCCCCAGCTTGTGACAAAATCACCCGTAATGCGAACGCTATCGTCGCGTCTTAGGATACACGCGCATCAAATACATCACGTAATAATAATAACAACACCGATGAAGGACCATCATGGGACCTCCTTTGCCAATAGCAAAATATGAGAATTGTTTTTTCCCCTTTTTTATAGCAAAAAAAAACACTTTTCACAAGGAATCATGTCTGCATTAACCACAATACTTGTGGTGTGGACCAATCAGTTTCAAAGACAATGCATACATTATCAGTGTTTTTTGTTTGCATTCTGACCACAAATATTGTGGTTAATTCAGACATGATTCCTTGTAAAAGGGTTTTTTTTGTTTGTTGCCAGAACAAAGGGGAAAAAACAATTCTTAACGACCAAGGACATTATTTTCGAGTCTTATATGCTGTATGCAATGGGTTTCGCGTTGATGAAACCGATCTTGTAAACCCAACTTAGAAAGCAGCTTATTTCTTACAAGGTGGCAAAGTTTAGTTTGCGTAGGGAATCAATTTACCATGAGGTTATATTTTTGAAGGTGCCCTGAAAAAAATACTTGCTAGCCCACATATATATTTCACACGGGAAGGTTCGTCGCCCGAAACGTCGCCTATTATATATTGTATGTATAAACGCAGTGTTATTGACGAAAATGTTGATTTTTTTTAAATTCCCCACACGTATACAGATAACCAATGCAAGCTTTATTCTAACACTTTACACTCCATGTCCCCACCAGACGGTTGCACAATAAACTTAATAAAATGCACATTTCATTGAATCAATCTGTCTACTCTCAACAAAAGCCCGATACTCTCTGAGCAATGAGAGTTTGCGGTTTATCAAAGCGTTTGCGGGACCCTCATCAAATGTCCTGCGGTGGTGGTTGGCACCAGTGACACCACGGCGTGGACATCTGTGATAAAGAGCTTCACAGCTCATCGGATTTCTTCAGGATAAATACAGAGTCTGTGTTTGGCATGGGATCCGGGTGCAAGTAATTAAATGTTACCCTCTACAATTACCCCCCCTCCATCCTCTTCTTCGTAGCTCGGCATCTTGATTCACTCCAGCCTGCGGGGCCCTGGTGCAGTTGTACCGCCTGCACACTTGATAGCTACGTCAATGGCTTGCAGGCACACAGGCAGACACACACGCAAACTAAAGTCTCTCTCTCTCTCGCACGCACATACATCAGGGACATTCCGCGACTCCAGTTCCAATAGGAAGTGGGCTCCGGCCCAGGTTTTCCAGCCAAAAAAATATATAAATCCATGTTAACCGTACGGGGGAGGGAGGGGGAGGGGAAACGGTGACAGGCAACAGCCCAGAAGCACCCACTGGCATATTCGGCATCGTTTCCACTCTCCTATTACTCTAATAAACTAATCACCTGCTCGCGTCACCTGCAACTACATCGCCCGCCGCGGAGAGTTTGCACCAGGGCCCATGCCATCCACGCTACGCCACTGAAAATCAACAACAGTATGCGCTGTTCCAAACAGAGGAATCACCTGAACGAAATGTATAGACGCACGTGCAATGAACACACACATATATCTGTATGTTTGGCGCCGTGTGCTAAGCACACTTGCGCTGGGAACCCGGCGACCCGAGTTCAATTCCCGTGCATCTGTATGTAGTAACGTCAGTGGCGAATGATTATTCTACCACCGATCCTGGGCTCCCTCGCCTTCACCAACATTTATGGTCGTGCAATACCCACGACCGACACACGCGCGGAAGCTCTCATCCAGCGGTGGATTTACAAAGTTGCTGCAATCAAGAACGTTAAGGTGTAACAAAGCAGGCACGCTGTACACGAGAGACGAAATCGATCCGCTAAGAGTGACCCCTGTGCAGCGAGTCGACGCGCGCGCGTGCACGGGCACGCGCGTGGATGCGTCCCCCCCCCCCCACCGCCCACCCACTTTGTCCTCTGTGCGCGCGGGCCGCCAGACTCCCTCGTCGGGAACGTCCGCTGTTCCCCGGCGTCCGGTCAAGATGAGCAGCATCGACTTCACGTCGCTCCTCGAGTCGCTGGAGGAGTTCAACTCGAGCGACCTGCCCGAGGAGTGGACGCGGCTGTGCAACGCGAGCGACCTGGAGTGCCTTTGGCGCGAGGTGTTCCACTGCGTGCACCCGTTCGACAAGAGCTCGCTATTCGTGCCCATCGCCGTGCTCAACTGCTTCGTGTTCTTCGCCGGCCTCCTGGGCAACGCGGCCGTGCTGTGGTTGCTCTGGCGGCCGGGCCGAGGCGGGCGGCCCGAGGTGCGCTGCTACGTCCTCAACCTGGCCGTGGCCGACCTCTTCGTGGTCCTCACGCTGCCCGTGTGGACCGTCTCGCTGCTGGGCCACGGCGCGTGGAGCCTGGGCGACTTCATGTGCAAGTTCACCCACTTCGTGTACAGCGTCAACCTGTACGGCAGCATCTTCTTCCTCGTGGCGCTCAGCGCCGACCGCTACGTCACGCTCGTGCTCTCGCCCGACCTCCTGGGCCGCCTGGCGGAGCGCAGGGCCCGCTCGCGCGCCCTCGCCTGCGCCGGGGTATGGCTGCTCGCCTTGGCCGTGTCCATGCCGGACATCGTGTACATCGAGTCCGGCACGGCGCCGCACACCAACCAGACGTACTGCGTGGCCGCCTACCCGCTGGGCGCCTTCAGCCAGTGGATGGCCGGCATGCAGCTCATGTGCAACGCGGTGGGATTCGCGCTGCCGTTCCCGATCATCGCCGTGTGCTACGCGCTCGTGGCTCGGGCGCTGCGCGACTCGGCACGCGCGGGGAGCCCGCGCGAGGCGCGCGGCGCGCGGCGCCTCCTCGTCGCCTACGTGGCCGTCTTCGTGCTGTGCTGGCTGCCCTACCACGCCGCGCTCTTCGTGGACGCGCTCGCGCTGCTGGAGGTGGTGGAGCTGAGCTGCGGCGCGGAGAGGTTCCTCTACTCGGCGCTGCACGTCACGCAGTGCTTCGCGCTCGTTCACTGCTGCGCCAACCCCGCGCTCTACTCTCTGCTGAGCCGCGGCGCGCGCGGCGCCCTGCGCAGGGCGCTCGTGGTGAGATTCAGCAAGGGGGAGCGCCTGCAGGAGGAGGCGGACGCGGCCACGGGGGACACGGACTGCACCGAGATACGGCCCTCCGAGCGCGCCATCGGGGACTGAGACGCGCACGCCGGTGTGCCAGCGTGTGTGTTGCCAGTGTATGGGTCCGTGTGTTTGTGTGTGTGTGTGTGACAGTGTACGGGTGACGGTGTATGTGCGTAGTAGTCTCGTTAAACAAACGGTGATGCCATTAAAAACAAAAACATCCCTCACTAAAGAGCACATGACTGACAATTGAATACCGTTTACCTTGCCCTTTCACAAAGACAAATATCCCCCGTATAGCCTTGACAGACTGTAGGGGCAAGTGCTGTTAGCGAGCACATATGAAGCACAAACACGCACACACACACGCGTGCTCGTCTCTGTATATACAGAATCAGTCTGTAAAACAGGGGGGTTTTCAAACTTCCAGTGCCCACGATCTACCACGGCGCCGCCGTTTCGTGTTTACCTGTCCTCGTTGTCAAGATGCTAACTTGAGTATTTTGACTTGTGGTGCACCACGAGCGCCCGATGATTGGTAAACTCGCAGCGAAAGTGACGGAGATCACTAAATTATACTTTTAAGAGAAACATAATAAGCGGGCAGTTCATCTCCTTCGTAGATCTGTCCTGCCACGTAATTTTAGGAGCATTGGATTAATACAAGCAAACCCTGGACAAGGTTCAGTATTCAGTGTCTCATAAGCAGAGGCTTGCTTGAATCAACCCTTGTGAACTGGAAGATGTGTATATACAGTATAGGCAAGGGACCCACTCTCTGTTAGATATGGGTCCTAGTGTGATGATGCAACACTCTACAATACACAACACAGAATCAACAGATAGGTGAAGGATGCGATTTGTCGGCTTATTTAATTTGGTACTTATATTCTTCACAACGGCGCTAACGGTTATAGTTTTATGAGGTCCGTCTTACTTTCCAGAGCTTTCTTATAATCTGGAGAATACACTAAAGGTATAACTCTGCTCTGTGTCCACATACAAATCAAGTTTTAGTCCATCGACATATTGGCCTTCACGACCAATATAAAGCAGCATTTGTTTCTCCTGGACCGGTTTACACCTTCTGGGTCTCATCAGCAGTCAGCCCTTGTGAAACAAATGGTGCCGGTTTGCCACCTGATGTTGTTGACCACTGTTTTTTTTCTACATGGAAAACCACTAGTTTCGCTCCTTCGAGGGAGTACAGGGTGGTACATATGTCTCGTGACCCCCCCCCCCCATTTAATACTCCAAAACGTAATATGTTTGTCTACCGATGGGTGTGAAAACTAAAATGAATAAGCAAAGGAACATTGTTTTTAAGGGTCAATTAATTGGGGGTTACAAGACATGTGGACATGTGAACGACCGTGTACAGTAATAGCAAAATTACACCAACACTCTCGTGAAGCCCTCTCGTCGTGGCTCGCAGATCTCGACATTGGCATTTAGCTCCTTGAACATATTGCTGCTGCCATGCCCAAGAATATATCATGATGCTCACGGAGGGCGCGCCCGAAAGCCACTTCGAATATCTTTTGTTCTCGTGAACAGAACTTAAACTGACGTGGGACAATTCCTGGAAACCCAGTTGAGCTGCGGGATAATGGCCTATCGGGACTTATTTTTCTTTGTTGGTCGTGTATTCATTTATCCAACCGCTGCAATATCACGGTTAATTACCGGCTGCCTCCGCCTGCGTTTCTGCCAGCTGACCCGGAGGTTAATTCGAATTACCTCAGCTTTATTCGCCCAATTTTTGTTTAACAATTACATTGCGATTGCAAGTAATTGCAAATTGCACGATTAAATATGCAATTAATTCCGGGTGTGTATTTGTGAGCGAAGATCACGTTTAAAGTGAGTCAAACCGTGTAATCGGAGGACGAGGGTGGCTTTACGGTGCATCGAATCATTCCTTAAAATTGTTTGTTACGGTCACAAAAAATTGCATCGAATTCTCCTGGGCGAAAAAAACCCCTCCGACTAATTCTGATTAATTAATATTCACGTATGGGCGGTGTTCTTCATTATAAGGCCCGCGGGACACTGGCGGCCCCTGGTGGCCTTTAGTGGGGCCCCTGATGTACGGCCCCCGACAATACACAACATGTCAAAAACACCCGGGCATTGCTGTCAAACCCCAGTGTCGACACCTCTACGCCACGCACGCAACGGTCGCGACTGCGAGATACGAATCGGTCCAGAAGGATGCTGCATCATAATAATAATTATCACTCGCCATCGTAATAGCAGCTTTCACAAACCTCGCGAAGAGTCATTTGTACAATTTATATAATGAGTTTGTATCTGCTGGTGAGCGTCACGTGACCTCGTCAATAAAACTGACTTGCCCAGTGAGTCCGAAACGCTTTGGGCTAAAAATGAACCGAGCCTATTCGGAAAAAAAAACGATTTCGTGAAGAAATTCCACGTCAAGTTGGCAACACACGCAAGTGTTTACACACAACTGTAATGTTTTCCTAGCCGTTTCTTCCATCAGCTGTGTTACCCTGGTGCCAACATTATAAGTGGCTTGACATTTTTGGCTTGTGTGTGTCCAAGGTCTGTATAGTGTGTTTGTAATATATATTTTACTATACTCTTTGGTTCTTTCGGTAAAGTCACGTAGGTATAAAATAAAATAAATCACGACGTTTCGGGCGCAACACAAGCGTCCCGTCATCAGGTGGGCAAGCCTGATGATGGACGCTTGTGTTGCGCCCGAAACGTCGTAATTTATTTTATTTTATACCTACGTGACTTTACCGAAAGAACCAAAGAGTATGGATTCCTGCAGTCACGAAAGCTTCAAATCAATATATTTTACTCTTTAAAGTATTTTACATTTTTGCTTGGCACGCGTTGTGGAAAATAATCCCGTATAGTCCAGAGCGGTGGTTCACAACCTATGCTCCGCGCAAGTGCCGTGGGAAGATTCGCCGAAATGTTGAGATTTCGATTTTGTTATCACAAAACAACTTTGTATTCTTTACTTGCGAAAATATTTTGAGGGTTTGACAGTGTTCCCGGATCCTGAGAGGGGTTGGTATCCTCTGGACGACGCTAAGTCAATACTGTGTGTGTATATATGGGGAGCGGTGGCACAGTGGTTAGCGCACTGCACTCCGAACCTGGCGACCCGAGTTCGGTTCTCGTTCACGATCAACAAAAGTGATAATTATCTATGCCTCTCCTAGGTTGACTCAGCCTAAAATGAGTTACTGGTGCGATATGTAAACATCGCCACTGGGGAGATGAAGGCGATCGGGTGTGGTACTGGCTACCCATCCCCGAGTGTGCCTTGATAGGTGCTCGCAAACAGCGCTTGTCCCAACAGTCTGTTAAGGCTAAAGCGAGGATCGCTGTCTTTTTATCTGACCTAAATATCATCGTCAAAACGTTTATTTGGCCGGAAAGAAATACCACGAAGAAAACGAATCTCAAGGATAATAGTCAAATAATATCCACGCCGTTTGGGTGGTAGAAGCAGGTCTTCATCTAGCAGTGGATTGAGAGCTGTTGTACGTGCAACGTAGCAGGCATGTCCTGGACGAAGCAAGAGCGACTTAGGTGTATTGTTGCAATGCTGGCCCAACATACAGAGAACGGCGTGTCGTCCGAGATTAATTGAATTGCACAGGGACGAACACATTTCAAAGCAATGAAGAACCGATGGCTCGTAGCCGCTTGTGCGAACGAATGAGATTAACGAATGATATTAACGAATAAGAATAACGAATGAGATCCCACGACGTCATGTCCATGAAGAATTGTATTGTTTTATATTTTTATTATTCTATTGTTTCCCTTTTACGTGACTTTACCGAAAGAACTAAGAATATATCACCCATTATTACAGTAAAGTATTGTACATCTATTTTAAAACTTTATATTTGAGATAGCAGTTCGACCTGCGTGGTTGACATGTTGGCGACAGATTGCTTATTTATATAGACTTAAGTTTTTCTTGGTGGATGTGATGGCGTGTAAAGGGGTAAAGGTGCAGCCCTGAAAGTGCTCGCTCTCGTCACTGTCGGTGGAAGGACCTACACTGGAGGGGGAGCTCTAGAGAGCACCCCCTCTAGAGGGCAATGTTTTGGCCTACTCTTCCACGTTGGTCGGACGTCTTGAGAGAGGTGGAAGCACCCACACTTTACCCCACCACATGCAACCTGCCGATCGACTGCGGTGTGCCCAATTATACTGCTGGGGGGTGGGCAGAGGTGGCGGGGTTAGGAAACTTCCACCGTTCACCTGGCACGTCGGGAGGTCGAACCGCCCACATGGTTCGTACACTCGTGCAGCATTGGCATTGGCAGACGTGTGCGTTGATTGTAAATGGCCGAGCATAAAGTGCTATGCCGCATGTTCTGAAGAAACGTTTTTGTCTACAGTTGTGTTGCTGCGTTACGTGAACGATGACGGTGCGTGGTGCTAACTTTACGGCTAAGTCTCTCGTGCAGCCCTGTCACCGCGATTCCCACGCGCTTTGCTTGGCACCGTGTATCGTTGCATACAGCAGATATGCCATATCGAAGATGTGCTTTGATATGTATTTAAAGGTATATGCGATAGTTTACTTAAGACATTGGGGCACTGCATTCCAAAGTTCGTTTTCCAACTATTGTCAGTCAATATGTCCTCTCTGAACATTAATTAAAAGGGTAATTTCCTGAAACGTCAGACTCAAATCTGCAGTCATCCACATTTACTGAATAAATGCCTTGCTGATCAAGGTTACAATCGAAGTAAATTTGAGTCAATGTTACTGACTGGCAGGCTGCCGTGATAGCCAACCGTGGACCGAGTTCATTCATTTAGGAGGACTCACCAATACAATATATTCACCGATGCTCAGTGCTCCAAAGTCTGCTTCTGGTAACCATATACCGTTCGGCCCCATTTCAACACCGTGAGGTCCAGGGTTAATAACAACAGTGGAGAGTTTATTTTACTCGTACTTACACTTAGACCGTGAGAGGTGCCGATGGGTAGCAGAGACCTTCACACAGCAATGCACTCACTGATCATGGCTGATTAATAATAATGATGATGATTATGACACGTGCATATGTACACAGCTCGAGGACAGTTATAGTAGATGTCTCAACCATGCTGAGACATCTACTGTGACTCGCTGTTCTGGTGTTTTTTCCCCAAGGGAAACTACACAGTCGCCATTGCAGAGTTGTGCTTTTAAACAAGCCTTAACAGCTTCTAGGCTATAGGAATCAATTCAAATCTATATTCTTGATTCTTTCGGTAAAGTCACGTAGAAGGGAAACAATAAAATAATAAAAATATAAAACAATACAATTCTTACGACGTTTCGACTGCAACAACAAGCAATCATCATTAGGTGTGAAAACCACAGCAAGAACATTTGAAGAAAGTGGCGGTTTTTTTAACTTTAGAAACGTCGTGAGAATTGTATTTTTTATATTTTTATTATTTTATTGTTTCCCTTCTACGTGACTTTACCGACAGAAACAAGAATATGAATCCCTGCAGTCACGAAAGCTTTAAATCAAAATTCAATTCAAATCTGTTCACGTGCATATACGGAATCTCGGTTGATTGATATACGAAAGGGCCCTAAATGCTCCTCAGTGGGGCATGATGAGTTTTCCACAATGTGAGTAAAACAAGACAAAGGTACAGCCCTGTAATTTCTTGTTGGTGCCACTGCTGGAAGAAGGGTCTCCACTAGAGGGGGCTACACATCTCGGCATCCCGTTCCACGCTGAAAATGTGAAGTGGGTCCGCAAATAGATAAATAATAGTAGTTTAACTCACTGGATTTCTGATTTCTTTTCTCTCTCCCAGAAGTGCCTTTTGATGGAGTAAATTACGTTTGGAAAATGATGAGAAAAGACAAAATTACATCTCTTAGAGAAAATACTTATGCCACAGAAGGCCTGAACTAATGTTTGCTGTGAACTGAGTTTGAACGAGGATAGCTGAACGGCAAATAAATGGCAATGTGTAATCAAAATGTAATTATGTTTTATTTTACATCTTACAGTACAATTAAGAATGAATGATTGGATGTGGCTGGGTAGCTCAAGGATTAGTCCCCCGAGTTGGCACTCCTGAAAGACTGAAATAAATCTGGATTTAGCCACTCGTGATTAAAATGGAGTGTATCAAGTGTAGTGAGCTGATGGTCTCAGCTCGGTCATTAATGATCGTACAAACAAACCTCTATCATATTAAATTAGCTTGTTTTTCTGCTCAATTTGCCAAACAAAGCACGTGGATCCGAGAATACAAATATAGGTTTGACTTAAAAATTTAACTTAAAACTTTCGTGACTTCAGCAATTCATATTCTTGGTTCTTTAGGTAAAGTCACATAGATAGAAAACAAAAAGTAAAAAATATTAATAATAAAATTCATCATGATGAAGACCGCTTGTGTTGCGATCGAAACGTCGTGGGTTTTTTGCTTTTATTATTTGCAATTCATTTTTTATTTTCATTTAAATGTTTAATTTTAATTTCATTTTGTTTCTATCTACGTGACTTTACCAAAAGAACCACGAATATAGGTTTGACTTGTAATGAACATCTCTACAACGAAGCGAGGCCCATTGGAAAGTTGCACCGCTCATCCGTGTAGACAGATCACTCACTTGTAGGGGTCTCAGAAGTAGATCTTTGATATCTCCTTCCACAGGCTGTCCTTTAACACGGGATGATGCAATGCTTTGC